GGGCATGATGGCTTGGCATATCATTTCAGAGTACAAGTTGGGATGATCTTGGTTGACCCCTCCAGCACAACATGTGTGAGGACCATTGTATATTGTTAGTTCTCATATATTGTTTTTCCTCTTCATTTTTTATACGCAGACCATCCAATTGCATCCGTTTTCGCGTCGGGCACAGTAGCATACATATTTTTTGGTTGTGGATCGGTTGACTCTGGACTGAACAGAATTATGGATATTGTAATTTTTTATAGCCATCACCGCTTCTTCTTTGCTTGAAAACTTCATGCCTAAAGATAACTCACCATTATTTATTGATGAGTAATATCCATAGTCACCGAGATGAGGCATATCCGCAAATTATGGCTCGTATATTCCACCATAATCAGCTTCATACATGTGTGCAGGAGGGTCAATTTGTGCCATATTTCCTGGAACTTCATCACCATCGGAGTTGTATTGCGGTGATTATGGGTGAATGAATAGTCCAGTCTCAGCATCATCCGCACCAGGCTCACGAAGCGGTTCTTCTGGTGGAGATGATGGTTCCTCCATGCGTTCCACATTTAGGTCGAATAACCTACTACTTGCACGCCTTCCCCTTGAACTAGAAGGCATATCGACATTGAGATCGAAAAAGCTCGCAGTTGAATGCCTCCCCTGGAGCTTGAAGCCATCGTGTCAAATGGAAACTGCACAGATGGTTGCGTCGATGGCATCTCCATATTATTGTCAAACGGATTTGCAGCTGAATGCCTTCCCCTTGAACTGGACGCGATGTTGCCAAATGGATTGTTCGTCGACCCACCTCGGTACATATCGTAAGGAGTTACGGATGAATGTCTCCCTATTATGGCATTAAAATCATTACACATTACTTTTTTCGGGCTATCAACTTGATTAACTTGTTCAGCCAGCCCATAGTATGAGCTTAATGATTGACCCTGAACGGCAAGCACTTGAATAAAATTTGCATACATCTCAATATCGACGTCTGAATAATTACTTTGAGCTTCAACCATCATTTCAACATCAACATTGTTCAAAAGTTCGAACGTTGTATAAGTTAATGGCAACAATGATGTTGAAAATCTGAACTGCAACGACGACATTCTTCTACTACTTCCAACATGAATCTTCTTCAAAATCTTCGTTATCAGCTCCTTAAGAGTTATGTTTCTCTTCAATGATATTTTAACACGCTCATTTGATACGAAAACAATGTCGGTTTCATCTTCTCGAATTTCACCATCATAATAAACAATAGCTGAAAGTCGCGTCATTCTTTGATTATAAAAGTACGACAATATTATATCTGCAAAAAAAACAACTGAAACAATGTTGATTAAATAAATAATATATGAACGAAAATATAACAGAATAAAATTTTGACACATAAACGTAAATAATTTAAATAATATAATTTTATATTATTACCTATACCGCAAATCTATTTCGATGTATATTCATGCTTTCTAATTTTACAAACACAGAAATTAATTGACAACAATTAGTATAATATTTTTTCAAATAATCATAATAAACAATAATTATAATAAAAAAAGTTATCACAAAATTACCTTATAAAAAAAATCGCACGAACTTTTGAATCAAATATGAGACAATTATCAGAATTAATGACTCGTTGACAAAATTACTGTATTAATTTATAAATTGAGAGGAGAGATGTGAGGAGATGTGAGGAACTTAACTAGGGGAGAAGGGTATTTATAGCCGAGAAAAGTTGTTATAATTATATAAAGCGCGGTACTTGCACCGCACCTTATATAATTATATCTGTTAAAGGTATGGCACGGGCGCTATATGTAATTATGTTAGAGAATTAAAGGTAAGGCACGACCCTTGACCTACGCTATACCTTACGTGGCGTAAGGCGCGCTCCAGGGGCTGCGCTATACCCACGTGTATTCCATGTCAGCATATAGCGCGGTTTAGGGGGTGCGCCTTACCCCACGTGGCGCCAAATTAGCATATAGCGCAGTGCAGGGGGCGCTTTACTGCAAAGGGTGTTAGATCGGGAAATATAGTCTGGTCGGTGTTAGATCGGTAAATATACCGGTCACAGATGATTTTTCGGGAAAAACGTCATTTTTTCAAATAATCATAATAAACAATAAGTATAATAAAAAAATCTATCACAAAATTACGTTATAACGAAAAATCGCACGAACTTCTGAATCAAATATGAGACAATTGTCATAATTATTGACTCGTTGACGGAATTGTTGTATTAATTTATAAGTTGAGAGAAGAGATGTGATGAACTTAACCAGGGGAGAAGGGTATTTATAGTCGAGAAAAGTTGTTATAATTATACAAGGCGTGGATTATATTAGTTAAAGGTATGGTGCGGCCCCTGCCCCGCGCTATATATAATTATGTCAGAGAATTAAAGGTAAGGCGCGGCCCCTAACCCGTGCTATACCCTACGTGGCGTAAGGCGCGCTCCAAGGGACGCGCTATACCCACGTGTATTCCATGTCAGCATATAGCGCGGTTCAGGGGCGCGCCTTACCCCACGTGGTGCCAAATCAGCATATAGTGCGGTGCAAGGGGCGCGCTTTACTGCAAAGGGTGTTAGATCGGGAAATATAGTCTGACCGGTGTTAGATTAGTAAATATACCGGTCACCGGTGATTTTTCGGGAAAAACGCCAGGGATTTCAACCTATGCCATGAAAAACTTGAATGTATCAAACCATTGAACAAAATCATACATTTATATAATAATTTAGTAGATTTTATATATAAACTTAACGCCTATTTATACACTATTAAAAGAAAATTAAATTTAAAATTCATATATTTTAAAATAAATTTAATATTTTCCTTTTCACATTTATAATTTCATGATTATATATAATATCAATTAAGTTTTTTCAATTTAATTAATAATTTTATTTTTATAAAAAAAATAAAGTGTATGAATTATTTATATTTTAGTTAATTTTTTATTAGATTGTGTAGTTTAAAATGTGTAATTTAAAGTCATTAGCTTTTTATAACTTAAATTATATATTTTATTTTTAATAAAAATAAAATCAATAATTAAATTATAAAGAATCAATTTAAGATTACATATAATCATTGAATTATAACTTTAAAAAATATTTTATCAAAAATATTCAAAAAAAGAATATTAAATTTATTTTAAAAATATATAAATTTTAAATTTAATTTTCTTTTAATAGTGTATAAGCCATTGTTAAGTTTATATATATAAAATCTACCAAACTGTTATATAAATGTATGGTTTGGTTTAGTAGTTTGGTATTTTTAAGTTTTTCATGGCCTAAGTTCAAATCCTTTCGTAAGTATTTTTATTTCTTTTTTTCTTTCTAGCATTAACTACTTTATAAAATATATATGTATTACTTAGTGGCAATGTGTGTGAGTTTAGTTCCTTTGGTCTTAAGATCAAATTCAACTAGCACCATTATTATTGTACCCTTCTTTGTAATTTAATTTTTTCTTTAACTAGATTGTGATATGTGTCACTATCTAGTTAGAAGATAAATAATTAAATTAAATAAATTTAAAAAATATTATTTAATCTAATGATGACATGTGTCACCTCCTGATTTGATGATTAATTTATTAATAAAATTAAAATTAGGATCAAATTGATTGAATGTACAAGTATTAAGGATCAAACATATAATTATATTAATTTTGTTAACTATCACGTATGCACTTTCATTAAATACTAATGTAGGGTGACTATATTGAACTCATTTAAATAGTTCAATGGTCATAATAACCAATTTTGGAAATAGTGGTCATTTTGATACCAACCCAGAGTTAGGTGGTCATTAAAGTAATTTACCCAATAAATAAATAGAACAGAGGAGAAAGATATTACATTGACATCATTGGGTACCAAGAGAATGATATGTGATTGATGTGGCCTAGAGGACTCGGTCAGGACCCCTCAACGACGGATAGCTAAATTCCGAGAGTGATGCCAAATTCATTAACAAATTGTAAGAGCTGCCTTCTTCAATTATGCGCCTGATATTATTAGTTTCATGATAGCTATGGATCCAAACAGACTTACGGTTATGGTTAGAGATGATAACAGGTGAGGTTGAGTAGAGTTTTTAATCAATTTGATTTAATTTGAAAAATATATATTTTTTATTTTAATTTGATTTGACCTAAAATATATGTCCTCCACCCTGATCTAATCAAATTCACAGAGTATATTTTTATTCGACCCATATTCAACCCGGACTTTTAGAATATAAACTTTATTTGACATAAGATAAGGATCTAACTAAAAGAAATATAGAGAGATGGGTATTGTAGTAATTACTCATAAATTTATATAAAAAAATTATATTATTATCTCGAATGTGATTAGATCGAAAAAATTTCACCCTCTGCGCGCACCCAATCCAATTTCACCCAATTTCACCCTATATAAAATCTAATTTTAATCCAAAATTACACGAAAATAGTCCTACCATATGGTATCAAATCTTCAAGTTAAATTGTAATCTCTGGCTATGGCTTGTGTTGCTCCAACGCAACGAACCACGCCAGCTGAAACGAATATACTAGGGGCCCTAAGGTCATGAAACCTCATTTTCCGATATACCAGGGGCGGCGCACACTGATATCTCAATTTCTCAACTTCTGATTTTTGTTTATTTTCATTATAGCGTTGATACATACATGTCTATTAATACCTTAAGACACGGACGTAAGAATTTATGTAAGGAGTATAAGTTTTTTAAATTATATTAAAAATTATGAGGTATGAAATTATAAAATTTTAAGAGATGAAAAATTATATAATTAATAAAAAATTATATAATTAATAAAAAATATAAAAATATATATAAAATCTAAGAGAATTTAAAATTTTTAGACACGCACCAGCAGCCCTAAGTCCATCCTGCGTATGGTATACCACACAAAATCTGTATATAAAGCAAAGCTCACGTTTCATAGTTTCAAACAAAAAAAAGGAACCATTAGGCATCAGAAATACTTACATCATCCGCCATTTCCCCATCTCAATGGAAACAAACTCTGATTGCTTTTGGCTTTTGTTTATTGCCTCCAAATGCGAGACTTTCTCATGTCACAGCTCCATTTTGCTTCTTCTTTTTCTTTGCATGGGTTGGCTGGCCATGGCCCTGTGTTTCTGGTTCTACCCTGGAGGCCCTGCCTGGGGCAAGTACCATTGGCTACACAAAAGAGCCGCCACAAATCACAGTAACATCATTCCAGGCCCACGAGGTTTCCCGGTGATCGGAAGCATGAGCATCATGCTCGGCCTAGCTCACCACAAAATCTCTGCAGCAGCCAAGTGTTTCGGTGCTAAACGACTCATGGCGTTTAGCTTGGGCAATACTCGGGTCATCGTCACATGCAACCCTGACGTAGCCAAAGAGATTCTCAACAGCTCAGTTTTTGCCGATCGTCCCGTGAAAGAATCAGCGTGTAGCTTGATGTTCAACCGAGCCATCGGTTTCGCTCCTTACGGTGTTTACTGGCGAACCCTCAGAAGAATCGCAGCCACACACCTGTTTAGTCCGAAACAAATCGGCTTAACCGAGTCGCAGAGGTCTGAAATCGCAGCGCAAATGGTTTCTTTAATAGCGTGTAATGGAGAAGAGTTCTCTGTAAAGGATATACTCAAGAAAGCTTCGCTCAACAACATGATGTGCTTGGTGTTTGGCAGTAATTATCAACTGAGTTCGTCAAATGGTGAAAGGGATGAACTCAGTCGGCTCGTTGAAGAAGGTTACGATCTATTGGGGAAGCTCAATTGGTCTGATCATCTCCCATGGCTCGCGGGTTTAGACCTTCAAAAAATCCGGTTTCGATGCACCCGGCTTGTTCCCAAGGTGAACAAATTTGTGAATAGAATCATTCAACAACATAAACTCCGAACCCAGAGAAGAAACCATGATTTTGTGGATGTTTTACTTTCTCTCACTGGAACAGATAGACTCTCGGACAACGATATGGTTGCCGTACTTTGGGTAAGAACCAATTTATTTTCAGTATAAACTATAAGTTTAGTACTTTAACTATCATTTTTATTTTATTTTGGTCACTCAACTATTGTTTGTCAGAAAAGTATATCTAACGTTATGTATTTGGTCTTATTTTGGTCATTCACCGTTAAAAAATTAACGATGATATTTATGTGTCATCATAAGACAATAAAATATCATCATTGAATTTTTTTAACAAAATGTCACGTCAATGATTTTTTTTAACAAGTGACCAAGATAAAACCGAAATGTAATGTTATCCATGATTTTGAAAAACTAATAATTGAGTGATCAAAATGGAACAAAAGTTATAGTTGGGGTGCTATAGGTGTTCTTTACCCCATTTTATATGCGTAAATTACGTATATAATCACCGAACGTTTCATGCAGTTATCTTTGGTCATTTAACTATTTTTCTTTTCAAAATCATACTTAAACATACATTTTGGTTCTATTTTGATTATCCATCGTTAAAAAATAAACATAATAGTTTATGTGGTAATTTTTCTTTTTTTAATAATGATGTGATATTATCTTATGGTGATATGTCAATATTACCTTATGGTGATATGTTAATATTATCTTATGGTGATATGTCAGCATCACCATTAATTTTTTTAACAGTGAGTAACTAAAATGAAACCAAAACATAAATTTAAATTTGATTTTGAAAAATAATAGTCGGGTACTTTTAGATATGATAATGATTTTTTGGATCATTTCGTTGATTAGTTTCCGATCATATATGTGCTTTTTCTTAGCTTTGTTGGCAACCAAAACTAACACTAATATTCATCTAATTTAATTTTCTTTTTTCTAATTATGCTCTACTTATTACACAGGAGATGATATTCAGGGGAACGGATACGGTTGCGGTTCTAATAGAGTGGATACTAGCGAGAATGGTGCTTCACCCTGAAATCCAATCGAAACTGCAGGCCGAGCTCGATGAAGTCGTCGGAAAATCACGAGCGTTGACAGAATCAGACATTCAATCCATGGTGTACCTGCAGGCAGTAGTGAAGGAAGCTCTTAGGCTGCACCCACCTGGTCCACTTCTATCATGGGCTCGGTTGGCGATTACGGACACCACCATCGAAGGATACCAAGTGCCTGCAGGGACCACAGCCATGGTTAACATGTGGTCCATCACCAGGGACCCCGAAATTTGGGTGAATCCCCTCGAGTTCATGCCGGAGAGATTCGTGCCCAAGGACGGTTGTGCCAATGTCGAGTTCTCCGTGTTGGGGTCCGACCTCCGGATGGCTCCCTTCGGGTCGGGCCGTAGGACTTGTCCGGGAAAGACATTGAGTTTGGCTACTGTTAACTTTTGGGTAGGATCCTTATTGCATGAATGCAAGTGGATACAATCGGATGCTGATCCTGTTGATCTCACTGAGAGGCTGAGGCTGTCCTGTGAAATGGCGAAGCCTCTTAAGGTCAAAGTGCAGCCTAGGCGCACATCATAAAACAAGTTCAATCACAACAAAAGCAATATATACTACCCTTAATTAGTAACCAGCAGGTGTAAGATATAGATACGGCAGTGTTTTCTCTAATATCTCTAAACCCTGTGTCTTGATCCTGACCTACATACCTATTATATGGATGATCCTGTATAATTTTACTAGTATTTTTATTTGACTGCAATAAGGTTTCCATCATTTGACTCATATTTTTCTGAATCATGGCACTTTCTTTTTCTAAACCGTACATGCAACCGCAAGTAGATGCAAAGGCGGATAATTAATATTGAGCACACGGACGATACAATATTTTATGGTAGGAGAGTTAATTTATAAAATTTTGGAAGGAGCGAATTTATAAAATTTTTGGAAAACAAAAACAAATTATCAATCGAAAATATAAAAAAAAATATTTAATTTATATAAAAAATTTCAAAGGGACGAACGCCCATCAATAGAAGAGGAAAAAATTAGGGTTCTTTTGATAGAAGCCAAGAGCTATAAGAAGACATGCTTAGCTGGTTTAGAGTATTGTTCTTTCCCTTAATCACCGCAATTGTCATGCTCATTAATTTGGATATTTGCCCTAGTGAAGTAGTTAAGTTGTCGAAATATCTTTAAAAACGACAGATGATCTTTTTTAAAGTACACAAATAGTCTCCTAGGGAGTTATTTTGTTGAGTCTCCCAACTTTTAAAAGTTACAAAATAATCACTCAATTATTCATATGTTCTGAACTCTTTAAAAAAAATTGACAACAATCTGAACTGAAACTTAACCTATTGAATGAAATATGAGAAAATTATATTTTAATAATGTCTACGGGTACCGTTGTTACTTTCATCCTTTTGCAGCCACCATTGTTGAGGAAGACGAAGATGAGTTTGCGAAAATCAGCCTTGGATATCAAAGACGATTTCGTGGTTGTTCACAAGGTTCACATAGCCATTGGCGGTGTAAATGAAGGCCCCGAATCAGCGTTGCTAACGAAGAGAACTTTGGATAACAAATCAGCTTCTCCATGCTCATCTTTGTTTACGAGCATATCGACTCGAATCGAACAGGTTTCTCATAAACTAAAATGTGTGGTCTCGATATGATATTCGAATAAGAGATTCGACCAAACGAATTTCGATGCAGGCCATGCATTGAAAGGACTCAAGGTCGTCACTGCCAAAACAGGAGTGTCCGCAAATGGAGGATCTTCTGTCTTGAAACGGTTCAGTGATTTGACTCTCTTGACTGATGGTCTTCTCCATCGTTAGTTCGTTACCAATTCGCTGAATGCATTGGTATGTCTTTCCTGATCCAGAAATCAAACAACAATGGTGAAGTTTCTTTTTCCCCGATTTCCGTTATAGATTTTCTTCTTCTTTCTGACTTAATAGGAATAAACTAGTCTATTAAAAGTTATAAAATAATCATTTAACTATTTATATATTTCAAAGTCATCATTTTCAGTTAAAAAATTGACGATCTTCTAAGGCGTACATCAACCTGTTGATTGGAGATATGATAAAATTTGATCCCATAATTGTTTGAATTGTATTTTGTTGATCGAATCTCTGCTTATATTATATGGTAGAGTCAGCGCTTGAAGCATTATGTCGTCAAGTCATAGCTTGAAAGCAATAGTGGCGTTAGTAGACATCATTAAAATATGTTTTTATCATATCTCAATTAATAGGTTAACATTAAACTCAGACGACCATCAAGTTTTTAACGGAAAATGACGCTTCTTGAACATATGAATAGTCAGGTGACTATTTTATAACTTTTAATAATTGATAGACTCAATAAATATTATCCTATAATTAAAAGATTATTTTATAATTTTTTAATAATCGATGAACTCAACATACCCTATATTCGGAAGACCATTTGTGTACTTTAACCGAAATTTTATCCATTGTCATCATTAAAGAAATGTTAAATAAACACAATTAGACCCACAGTTGCCGTCATCTTCTAAATTAACAACCAAAGTAACTACATTTCCAACTTTTTCTTTACGTCAATGAGGGTTTGAATTAGGGTCCTCGCAGATGATGAGTAATAGTCAATTGCACGTGAAATGCACATGGATCGAAAGACACATTCTGGCATTTTGCCAAAAGAGAAACTTGGTCAAGGAAATCAACTTTGTCTATTGCCCCAGACATTGATTGCTCGTGTCTTAAAGCCTAATTACCAAGCCCCAAAATTATACATAAGTTGTTTTACAGCATTAAAAGACATGTCCAAATTCTCTGTTGAATCAATGTCTTTCTCTTTGTCTCGGAAAATCTCACTAGTCATTATCACTATCACTTCTCACACGTCGTAATTACTTGCACCACCCAACTTTAGATTCATATATATAACTATATAACATCTAAGATATTTAAATTAAATCAGATCAAATCAAATGTAGATACAAATTTTGTGACATAAATATTTCAAAATCTGGTTCATAGGTTTTGCAATATCCTATGAATTGGACAGTGAAATGTTAGGTTGGTAACGACACATAGTATACAGCCTACAATTATGGGTGTGTAAAAAAATCCAATCAGACTGATTTTGTTCGTTGATTCGTTTGATCCAATCTGAAAATTATAATATCTGATTTATTTTTTAATTTTTGGATAATTCAAATTAGATATTCGAAGAAGAAAACGGATAATTGAATCATATACGTATTGATTAAATTCTAATTTTATATTATCTAAAAATTTGATAAAAATCAATTCTTTAGAATTTTAAATACCCTCTAGCTCGATAAATATGTTTATTTTGAATCTATTAATATTGAACGTAAGAATTACTATATATAATTGGTTACTGTGCATGAATAATATTTGGATAAATTATAAATTTGATAACCGAGCTTTACTCTATATCCTATTATACTCATTGTACTTTAAATGTTTTCAATTTTCTCATTGAACTTAATACATTGAGCTTTTTTGTCATTCAACCATTTCCTCACGGCGTTATGGCGTCATTTTTTTGTTGTTAACAAATGAGGGACAAAAAAATCCAATGCACAAAGTTCAATGATTAAATTGAACATAATTAAAAGTATAGTGAGTGAAATATGAGAGAGAGAAAAGTTCAATGGTTAAATTTGTAATTTACCCATTCAAAAATAAAATAAAAGAAAGCCAATTCATAATGTTGTTAGTGAAGAAACGACATAGTGACAAAAAAGCCTAATGTATTAAATTTAGTGAGAAAATTGAAAAGATTTAAAGTACAGTGAGTAAAATAGAAGAAAGAACAAAGTTCATATACCAAATTTGTATTTTACACTATTTTTTCTGAACAATTACTACAAGGGGAATGAATGGAGAATTTTGCTACTAATGGATATCGAACCCACAACCTAGGATGTTGCATAAAGTCACAAAATATAAAATTTTAATATAACCTTTCTGTCAAATTAAGTTTTATTTAGATATTCTATCTGAAAATATTGATATCCTAAAAATCGAATCAGATTCGAATTATAATTTCAATGATCTAAAGTTTTGGATATATTAAATTTCAGATCAAATAATATCCTATACTTATTATCGGAAAATATTTTTGGCACTCCTTCCTACATGTACTCTCATATCAGTTAACACATTCTGAACCCAAATAACTTGAGAAGTTCCATCGGTAAAACTTATATACTCTTCTTCGATCGTAGATCAAAATAACCTATATTTGTTTCTTTGAACTCCAGAAATAGGTGCAATTCATTACTACCCAAAGCCTCATGAACGTTCCTGGGGGACTTGATCACGTTGCCGTAGAAAAAACCTTCGGTTTAAACATTCATCGCTTGCTTTTAATAGTCAAAAAATATGGTTCAAATAATGATAAAGAATCGTATTTTAGTCAACAAGATAACGTTTAATTTAGACATACTAATTTTTAACGAAAAATGACGGTTTTAGATTATATGTATAGTCAGGTAACCATTTGTAACTTTTAATAGTCGTGAGACTGAAAAAATAACCTTTATAATCGAAGAATCATTTTGTAACTTTTTATAGTTGAAAAACTCAATAAAACAACATCATATATGTCGAAACGATTTTTCTCTTAAAGTGAGATTTAAAAACCACACCGTTTTTAATTTATTTATTTGGATTAATTTTTAATTAAAAAGTAATGTGATTTAAAAAACTTTTTGTTTTAAAAATTTTGGGGTTTCTTTTAAAAATAAAAACATATGGTTCGAGGAGTTGCCACCAATATTTGATTAGGGTGTGATTGGGCACCCAAAAACGTTTTGTTATTTTAAATAAAAATTAATTTTAATTAAAACAACAAATTGATGTCTGCATTACCAAAATTCGAGTTCGGGAGTCGGTGTTGCGTGGGGAAGGATTAGCACCCCCACAACGCCCAAAATCGGTACCTAGTCGATTAATAAATGTTTTTGCAATGAATTTTATAAATTCGAATTTTATTTTATTTTTGATCCCATAAAACAACCAAAATATGAAATTTACCATGAAATATAATATTATTAAATTATTTCCTATCGATAATAAATAAATCCCTCATAACTTGAGGTAATTAATTCTTACTTCAATCGAAATAAAGAAATATTATAATTCCATTATAATATTCACATGCACCCAAAATATATTAAATTAAAATTATCAAGCCTTGTTAGAAAGATGAAAAATATTCAATTATTTAAAAACATCGAGACCAGATTTTAGATAAGTTCTAACAACCTTTTCTCGAAAAATTTAAATGACTGAATATTTCTTTTTCTTTCATTACCAAATTTTAAAGTGACGAACTATTTTTTAACTGTCAATAATGGGATACACTTTTAGTTTAAAATCGTCGAATAGTTTAAAATCGTCGAAAACGGCTCTGCAGTGAGTTAAGACAAGACATTCAAATAATTTTAAATTAAAAGGGTATTACCCTTAATCTAATTATGTAATTAGGTCAAGTTATGCATATGAGGTTAACATACATCTCATACAAGAATGATTCCATGTAACTCATAAATAAATCATTCTTGTATTGGTACATGCATGGATTTATCGACATGTAATAAAAAGAAATGCAACTAATTAAAGAAGACCATTATCTAACCATGGACTAAATTAAAAAGAAATAAAA